TAAAATTTAGTTCAGTACTCATGAAAAAATAAAATAAATTTGTGCCAGGCTAAAATACTACTCTTTGCCACAGTCTTTAAGACAATCATATAGTTGAGCTTTGTTCCTGGTGACTACATAGACATATCCATTAAATTATCTTGGCAACAGAGCAGAAGTGGTTTTCCATTCCATTCTTCCAATATAGTTTTTGGCCTCCCAATCTATTCTATGACCCTGGAATTTCCTAGTGGTGTCCTTTCCATGTACTATCCAGATCTGACCCTTCTTAGCTTTCCACCCCAGACAAAGTAGGCCAGCTACTGCCCTCTGCTGAAAGAAGCAGTAGATGTTCTGTGTTAATGCAAACCTGGAATAAGAGCTATATAGATGAATCTCTTGTTTATAAATTAAATCAAATGTTTTGACGTTAGAAGAAAGTAATTCTCACATCATAATTGCTTCTGTACTTTGTTTATCTTGCTTCCTTCATTATAGCTTACCTAATCCATGACATTTTCCTCTATCTTGGGTAATATTGTATGTATGTATGTATGTATGTATGTATGTATGTATGTATAGGTCTACTGAGTTGGAGTTCTGCTGATGCTTCTACATATTACATGTCTCTCTGATGATGAATAGCAACTTTTTCCATAAATTGATCTTTTCACTGTTCTTGAAAAATCACTTTCTATCAGTGGGAAGGTTTGTTTTGGTATCAGTCTTTCCTGTATTGTATTAAACATGAGCTGAAAAGTTCTTTATAAGAATTAGCTTTTCATGTTGAGTTAAAAATTCTTCCTCTTTGTGTAGCACTTTATTTTAAATCATAGTTTCTAACTGTACGTACTCTGTGCTAATCTTGTTATGATATTGTAAAGGTAAGTAATTTCTTGAAACTTTCCTGAAGATTATAGGCACACATTCAAAGTTTTTCCTCAGCTTTGTTACACTGTAGTTTTGGTTTGGTAAAATTGATTACCTTTTCAGTTTAAATATTTCTGTTTAGGATGAATATTGTATAATCTTTCTTTCATAGCAGTCGGAGGCACTATGACTTTAACTGAAAGATGGATTTTTAAAACTTAACATTTATCACTGTCACAGTGTTCACCTCTATCATAGTTGATTTTTTTGTTAATAGGTATCATATATTCATTATTTTCTATCTCCTTAAATTTCTTAATTTCAGTTGTGGCTTAATATTCATTTTTATAGATTTATTACTTAGCGTTTACAAGAGTAGACAGAGCTAACTTCAAAACCATGAAAATAGTTGATCATTTTTTAAAAGTATTTTCACTTGAGCAACAGAATATAGTTGAAATTTGCCTAAAGCTCTTTTTCTAATTGGAACTCAGAGCAAAGGAAAGAGAAAAAAATAAAATTTGAAATTATAATACAAAAGGCATGCACTTGTTATTTTCTCTGGAATGACTTGCTGGAAAAAAAAGGATTCAACCAGTAGAACCCTGTACATATTTGTTTAAAAGATCCATTATATTCAGACATGTCACAAAATGGAAACCATTGTGATGTAGACGAAAATAGTCACGTCAATTGTCCATATAATACCTTTCTTCAAGCATGACCAGAATAACATAGGTGGCAGCCATATTGCTGCTCATGCACCATTTGGTAATATATGATTCATAATGTTTTGGGTATTCAGAGAAGCGCAGGAAACAAGAAAGACATACACTCTTGTGCTTTATCATGCAATTTTCAAAATAAAGTATTTGCCACTTGCCTTGCAGTAAGTAACATGCCCAAGATGTTCATCGGGGGATGGAAAACGAGTGGCAGAAGTTCTTTCATGTATTACATTTGGAAATACACAGGAGGCAGGCACATATTTTTCCTATCCCCCAAGTTTCTTATACATATCCATGTAAAGATAGAATAGTATATAATATATTAAAATAGAAACACTAACTAGTAATGGCTTCTTATTAGAGAGGGTTTCAGCTAAACAAAATCTGTGACACTGTGATTTTATCCCATGCAGCTTTATATCATCACTGCTTATATGGACAGAAGATAATGTTTCATAATACTAATCTGATAATTACATGAGCTATAAACTGAAAATTCAGTTCTACAGTAAAATTCTCCCAAACAGTCCACAAATTTGTCATTTTAACAGTAGATGAATCAGCATACAAGTTTCAGCTGCATTGTCACTATACATTTCTTGGTTTTGCCCCTGCACTAGCTCCACTATACAAATGTGAAGGGCTTAAAGAGTAGGCAGAATAGAGACTACAACTTGACAGAAACTATTACTGTTCCAAGGAGCGGTTTTCCATTTGCAAACATTTGTGCTAGAGTTTGGGGTTCTTTCTGTTTTTATACTTCATTGCAGATACACTTGATTTCTTTTTTACTACTTTGTTATTGTCATTAACATCATCACCTTTTCTGTGTTGTATGGATCATACTTGTTTTTCCATTTATCATTTCCCAGATTGTCTCCGTGTTTTCTTCTTATATTTTTCCTGATAGATCTCTGGTTTAAATGCTTTTGATATCGCCCAATTATTGTTTTTCCGCTTGTGCAAAGCAGCACATTAAAAAAAACACACACACAATTTTGAAACTGCAGTCCAAAACACCCCCCGCCTCTCTCACTCATGTTTCTCAGACACATATACACACATTCAGACTGTGTACACATGTATTATTTAAGAATTTTGGCCCATAATTTTTTTACAGTAGATCTAAGGGGGAAAAAATAACCTGTTCTGTTAGGCTTTATTATTATTTTGATTTCAATCATCCTGAAAAAGCTGAGGGGGGCAGGAAGCAACAAATCTGGGCCACTTTTTTAATTGAAACTATTACTGTATAATTTTGGTAGGAAAGTTTGGCTTGTTTTTGGTTTTTTTTTTTGGTTTTTTTTTAAATGTAACTTTTTTTCCAGGAAAGGACAACCATAAGCCACCATAAGTTGGAACATTGTCTTAAGTTACTTCATTGCAATGAATAGATTTATGTTAACAGCACAAATTCAAACTGATGTAATGCGTCTTTGGGGCAAGCTGCTGTGGAACAGAAGAAAGAGTTTTTTTAAAAAAAATCCATAATTATTTCATCTTTATATAAGATATAATTTTGTACTCAGAAGTAGCTGCAGTATCAGCTTACAGGTCTCCTTTTTTCCTCCTCAATTATGTTTGCCCTCCTCAGTACTTTTCATATTAAATGTGCTTCATTTACAGATAAAACTAGAATCTGGATTCCAAATTTTGAATTGTTTCTTTTCTTTTTAGAAGAAACCAATATTTGGAAACATAGGCTGTGCTATTAATTGCACATATAAAAGTTTTACTCCCTGTATCAGAGAACTTTGAAAAATGTGATATTGTCGAGGCCCTAACAACAAAATACAACCTAGCAAGCAATATTCACAGTGAGTACCACTAGTTAGATTTATCGTCAAGAAACTAAGAAGCTGATAGAATCATAGAATTGGAAGGCACTGTGGAGGTCTTCTAATGCAATCCCCAATCCAGGGCAGGAATCCTAAGACCACCCCAGACAAATCACTGCCCAAACTTTGCTTGATAACCTCCAGTGGTGGGGCACCCATAAGTTAAGAGGCATTGGTTCCACTGTTAAATAGCTCTCACAGTCAAAAAATTCATCTTGATTTCAAGTTTGGATATCCCTCTGCAAAACCTCTACCCATTGATTCTTGTCTTATTCTCAAGTAAATCCACATCCTTTTCCCTGTGATAGCCCTTCAGTATTTGCTAAATCTTCCAGAATCTTGGAAACACAATAAGCCAAACTCTAGCATTCATTTATTATTCATTAGGCTAGAGCCTCTGAGAGCCACCTGAGCCTGTTGTTACCAGCATTGCATCCCAACCAGTCTGATATATGAAGGAACAAAAAAGATACCTTGTTTTTCATAAGTCCTGCATAAACACATTCTGGTTAATTTCCTAAAAAGGGCTTTCTGGTAAATGATAATACAGGTAATACTCACTTAACAATGGTAATTGGAACCTGAATTTTCCATCGCTAAGCAATGCAGTTGTAAAGAGTGACATCACATGACCATGCTGCTTAGCAACAGCAGTTCTGGCAGTCCCCAGTTATCGTTAAGTGAATCACTACGGGTCATTAAGCAAGTACCTCACATGACCACAACTTCCAACTTCCTGCCAGCTTCTCCATTGGCTTTGCTTGTGGGAAGCCGGCAGGGAAGGTCACAAATTGCAGTCATATGACAGCGGGGTGTGCAACAGTCAAAAATCAGGGCTAGTTGCTAAGCTCCCAGATCACAATCACATGACCACAGGGGCACTGCACTGGCCAGAACTTTGATGACCAGTTGTAAGTACCACATGTTCAACCCTGTCAAATAGTCGCTGAACAAGTGGTTTTTAACTGAGGACCACCTGCATAGTCTAAGCAGATGTCGTATTTAAGATAAAACAATGATATCAAACCAAAGTTTTCAAAGTAAACTTTGAAGAAATTTGTGCTCAAGAAAGAATAATTGATCAAATTGTGAAACAGATGAGCTAAAACCTTAAGTACAGTGTTTATTTTATCTTTCCTGTTTTAAATAATCTATTAAAATCAGCTTCAAATGTCTCCAACAGTATTTTATTTATTTATTTATTTGAAGTAAAATATAGTTTTAGTACATGTCTCTCATTAATGTATTTGTAGGAAAGGTGAAATGTAAATACATCATTGAAACTGAATATATATATGTATGTATGTATGTGTATATATATAGATATATATATATGTGTGTCTGTGTGTGTGTATAATTAAGGTTAAACTTTAAACAAAAATTGTGTTCTATACATTGGCTTAGTTCCTGTTGCTTATATTTAATTCAGACTGTTAATCAACAGTTTGTTAAATATAAGCTGTGTAAGAAGGATTTTAAGAAATGAACTACAACCTCTGTCTCCAGGTCCCAGGAGCTTGCCCACTATATTCCTATAGTCACTTTATAACATTCTGCCTCATCAGTTCTGTCCTTCTCTCTACAGGTCCAGTCCAGGTGCAGCAGTAAGGAGAACATCCTCCGAGCCAGTAAGTGTTGCATCTTTGTGTTCTTCTAGTGAAGTATAATACCTCCATGATATGTAAGCTACAGTTTTGCTGGAATGGATTCTGTGAAAGCATAGAATGTGATGCACCTGGGCTTCTTTTAAGTGTACTTTCTAGGCTTTTATGTCTGCAGAATATACTTAAATATGTCCGTAAATGCCTGAGGAGATCTCAGTAGACAGGCTGAAGGATATGCAAAATATTGTGTCCAGTGCTCATGGATAGATGTTCTGTGACTTGAATACTTGTAAAGCCATGATTAAATAATAAAATGTAAAATAAACATTTTGCATAGATATCTCCGCCCATCAGGATATGTAGGAGCAATTTCTGGAAGAGAGGAAAGAAGCCCATTGCCAATTCTTTGACAGCTTTCAGGCTAATGGAGAAATACAGTTTTATATTACATGCAGAAACCTTGAACTCATGCATTTCTCATCGCTCAAGCAGACCAGAAACTGTCATTTGTTTTCAGTCAACTACACATTCATTATATGTATTAACAATACACTGATTAATTTTAGTTAAGGTTTACTGAACCAAGTTGGCTTCATAAGTCATTAAAACAGGTTTGTCCATAATGCTAAACTGTGACTAGTTTAAAAAGCCAAAGTTTATAGAAGTAGAGAAGAATCCAAGACTTAATCATGTAATGATACACTATGTTTTATTATTAAGTTTAGATGCAGTGGATCTGTATGAATGAGCAATGAAAGACTGTGGCAATATATTCTTTCCTTTGTTTTACATGCATACCTTGAAGTAATGCAGTGGACTAAGCCCAGATAGAAATGCTGAAATGTTCCATGTGCACTTCTAGAGTAACCTGGCAAGAACTCAGTAGCCAGAATTTTATGATAAAGAAGCCTTTACAGGTCATGTAGAGGAAACAGGGGATGGCCTTGAGGGACAGGAGGAACAGCCACTACCAAGACAAAGGTTGGATGAAAGGGAACTGTCCAGGGCAGAAATGTATCCTGAGAAAATGTCTCAGACAAGACCCTCCCTAGTTCTTACAAAGATAATGGGAGGGAGGGGGGGAGCGTGTTTAGACTTGCAAGATTCTGTTTATTTTACAATAAAAATAGTATTGGCCTACATGACTGGTTTCCTTAAAGGGCTGACATATCAGTGCTAAATATATATATGTGTATGAACACATAAAAATGTACACATAAAAAAGAGTTATGTGTTTTATGTGTACATTTTGTACACATAATTACACACAAAATTATTGAATTAAATAGTTTATATAAAGCCAATTATCTGTTCAGCTTTGTGATTAGTGTGGTTTTTATTCTTAGTAGTTAATATTTCTGTTTCACTGTATTGTTTTATATTTTGTTATTTTAGTTGGGTTTTTTTATTAAATCTATTTGTACAGTCTGAATGAAAAATAATACATACCTTTTAAAATTAAATCATCCCAGTTCGTTTCCATTAATTGACTAGAATGGGAATGTTCGTAACCTGTAGCCCATTGGATATTTGGATGCAATTCTCAGAATTGTTCCAAAGGTATTTGCTGAACTGTAGTCTTCAATGTGACCAAAGAGAAAATTATTAACATATGGAATAATAATTAATAATTACCTGAAAATTGTGAAGGTCTGGTCCTGAACATCAGAAGAAAAGAAAGGTTGGACCAGCGAACCTCTATAATAAAGAATACAGTGATTGACTATAAAAAAGAGGAAGCTGAATATTAGGGATGGGATTTCTAAGAGAAAATTCTAATTATCTGAGCTAAGTGTTAGAAGTTTAAACCTAGCCCAGAAATATGACCTTCATCATTATCTAGTTGACACACCCTTCAAATACATAGTCCAGAATAACCAAACATATTCCTTAGAATCAGACTGAAATGAAATGACCAGCTGCACCAACACAATGAGAGCTGTTTTATGTTAATGTAGTAAATGCAAGAAAGTAGTCACAAATAATCAGTGGCAAATAATTGCAAGAATGTAGATACAAATAATCTTTAAAGTATCTATTAATATAAATAATAAAAGGTGACCAAATTTGAGTAGTTTCACCATAAGGTTTTTCTTGTATCATTTTTTAGACAGAGCTACTTCCCAAACTTGAATATCATGCATCCAGTGAAAGTGTATTTTAATTTTCCATGTTTTATGATAGCAAACCTGGCAATTAACAAACAATCATTGAATCAGTTGTTTATGTTGCATTAATATTAGATATAGATATAGATCTGTCTTAGGAAATATTGCAAAAAACTAGCATTAGGATTTATTATAAAAGTTAGTTATTATTGGGCAGTGTTGGGCTTCAAGGTTTAGTGACTATGGTCTAGACAACAGATTTCCTGACTTTTCACCTGCAACTGTGGCTGGCATCTTCAGAGGCAAGGTGGTCTGTTGTGCAAGCCACAGGCAACTGAGCAGGGACTGACTGGGCTCCTGTCTCTATAGACAAGCATCCTGCCTTCTAATCGGTCTTTAGCCGAGTTGGTTTCTGATTGGTGCACGTTGATGAGGACTGGTCTCTGATTGGTTCTTTGTTTGTGCCCAGTCCTGATTGGTCATTTTGGTGGTGTTGGTTCCAGGTTGATCCTTTGTTCATGCCAGCTTCCTGTTCGTCATTTTTGGAGTCTAATTGGTTCTTCATTTGTCCTGGGTTCCAGTTGGTTAGTCTGAGGGGCTGAGTTCTGACTGGGTCTTGTCCAGGCAAGTTTCTGATTTGTCTGCGGCCATAGTCACTAAACCCTGAAGTCCAACACTGCCCAACAGATACTGGCCATGAAAGCGTACACCAGTATATTAATTATTATTTATTATCATTTATTTGAATTTATTAGTTGCACAACTCCAGTGGACTCTGGGTCAGTTAGATTTTGCCAGCTTCCTCAAAAACTTTGAATCAGAAGGATTGCATTACCACAAAAAATTGTAATATATACCAACTTACATATTGATTAAAACCCTTCCATGTGAACCCAAAAGATTACAATTTATATAGTTCAGTTTTAGCAGAGTATAATGCAATATGGATTATCTTCATGGTGTCTTACTGAAATAGATAAATAGAATTTTATGTCATTAAAAGTTGCAGTGAAGGTCAACAACTTTAAATCCTAAATCATCTTCCCAGAGTTTTTTAAGATTTTCAAGAACTCTTATCAAAATTTGGCATTCTTATTATATGAGTTTTATGTAGCAAAATTTTATATAATGTATGTCTAAATGAATTAGATATCTTCAAATGTTAATAGCAAGGACAAATGATGACCTTAAATGTTAAATCATTGTATTCAAGGGGCCAACAATATGAGGCTCTGGATGTAATAAAAACCTCTGAGAAAAATATTTAGAAACTTTGAATAAATTTTACATATTGCTAAACAAGCAGTGTGACAACATTAAGTTTTACAGAAATAAACAGCAGCTTCCTGGATCTGGTTCCAACTAAAGAAAATAACTACTTAATAATTACCCTCTATACAAAACCCACTGACAAAAATTCTTTATTAAAATATGGTCCCATCCTAAACAAATCAGAGATAACTAATGAACAGTTATCAACAATTGCTAAGAATTAGATGCAATGCTACTCCTGACACAGATTTCCAACCACAATCCAAGATTCTCACAAGCCAACTCTTAATCAGAACATACAATCCTTAAATTGATGCTAGTTTCAATAATATTAGGAGGTGGCCACTGAAGACCCTTAACATAAGTGAACAGTAATCAGTTGGGATCAAATGATATAATCATACAAGTATAGAGGGAATATAGAAAAGTATTGGATTCTACTCCAAGATATTCACAGGTGCACAAAACAACTATTTTTTACTTTCAGAAAAACTAGGGAATCTGGTTAAAAGTGATTTCTGTGTTAGATCTATTGCTTGATGAAACAATCCTGCATTCCACTATCACAGGGCAAGGCAATTTCTCTTGTAGTCATTGTTTCTAATTTTAAGTGAAAGATAAAAGCCACTAATCAGATAGATGGGTAAATGTATAATTCACAGGATTTTAACAGATGTAATCATGCAAATGTTATTTTTACATGGACAATCTCCATGCAATAAAAAAAGATATAAGATAAACTATGAAGGCATTGACAGTTAGGATAGGAGACTAAGCAATATCAAAAATCAGAGTATGGGAGATCTCTAGTGGAACATTTCTTAGGGAAAATATTATCTAGCATGAGCCATCTATTCTGGGCTATTGAACAAGATAAAAGAAATAATCAGAAAGTTCTGATCAAATGTATCCTGACACTGCAGTGTGTAATTCCTATCTGTCATTAATCTAATGTCAGGGATTAGAGAATCTCAGTTGCTCTTCAGTCTTTGAGTAAAATTCCATTCAGGTGAGAGCAAAATAGAATAAACCTTTTTTTCTTCCTTTTGACCCCTTCCCCTCTTCCTAAAAAGTGAAAATAGTTTGTTTATTTTATTTTTTATTAAATAATTTCTGTAGCCACCCATTCAGTGTGCAACTCAATAAGTATACAATTCAAAACAGCAAGTAATATGCACCAGAAAAAAAAAAAACATTAAAGCACAGTAAAATGTATTATGCCAGAGGTAACTTCAAATCACCACAACCAGTCAGAAATAGTCTAGATAGGCACAAATGCTCCTGACCCAATGTCTGAGGTAAAAACTAGATCTTTAGAGCCTTCCAAAAGGCGGGCAGGGTCAGAGCCATCTGAATCTTGGGGGGAAAGCTATTCCATAGAGCAGGCACAGCAACAGAGAAGGCATGTCTCCTGAGTCCTGCCAGATGATACTGCTTTGTTTATTTATTTTATTTATTTATTAAAGCAATTTATATGTCCAACTCACTCACAGTGACTCCGGGTGGCTTACAGAAATAAAATCCCAACTACAAACACACTACACCCCCATCCCCCTGGCAACAGCAATACATTCAAACAAACCACTTGATGGGCTCCATATCAACCTGGGATCCCCAGGCCTGCTGGCAAAACCATGTTTCAGGGCCTTTCAGAAGAGTATCAAGGTAGGGGCCAGTCTTATCTCCACGGGGATGGTGTTCCACAGACAGGGAGCCACCACAGAAAAGGGCCCTTCTTCTCGGTCCCACTAGATGGACTCCTTAATGGGGGAGACTCGTAACATACTCTGCCTCCCTGATCTGGTGGGTTGGGCAGATGAAACTGGGGAAAGCTGGTCCTTCAAATAACCTGGCCCCAAGCCATGTAGGGCTTTAAAGGTGATGACCAGCACCTTGAATTGAACCTGGAAGCAAACTGACAACCAATGCAGCTCCCGCAAGAGAGGTAACATGTATGCAAATCTAGACTTGCACAAAAACATGTGGGCCATTGCATTCTGAGCCAACTGAAGCTTCCGGATACTTTTCAAAGGCAGTCCCATGTAGACTGCATTACAGTTGTCAAGATGGGTGACTAGGGCATGGGTGACTATGAGCAGGGCCTGTTGGTCCTGGAAAGGGCATAACTGGTGCACAACCCACAGTTGCACAAAGGCCTTCCTGGCCAGGACTGCCACCTGCTCCTTGAGCAAGAGTCGCAGGTCCAGGAGAACCCCCAGATTATGCACCGGATCCATATGGGGTAGTGCAACCCCATCCAAGACCAAAGATGGCAATTTTCCATGGACCAAAGAACCCCAAACCCAAAGCCATTCCATCTTGCCAGAGTTCAGTTTTAACCCATTGCTCCCCTTCCAGACCTTAACAGCCTCCAGGCACTGTGAGAGGGAGGACATGGCATCACTTAATTCACCATGGGCTGAGATATACAGATGAGTATCATCAGCATACTGATGATATCTCACCCCATGGTGACAGATGATCTCACCCTTCATCAAAGGGTCAGAGTGCACCACTCCCTGCCACCCAGAAGATGGCAGCACCTGGTTGCTGTGCCAGCAGCCCTACCCCAACGAGAGGTTCCCAGTGGTCCGTGGGACGATTGTCCTGCCCCATGAAGCCTCTTTAGCAAGAGGACACTGTTTAAGTGATGGAAGAATGCCCACTCTGTCAGATATTAATTGCCTTTTCTTCTATGATAAATTAATGCAGGAGAAAGTCCTTCCAGAATGCCCTAGAGTGAAAGAAAATAGACATCTGAGATAAAACAACTGGAACTCACAATTACATAAGATGTAAAATACAAGCAGATTGTATTCAGCTAGAAGAAATGGAGGAGTTTTCATTTAAGCAAGATTTGGGGGTTTATCTTAGAAGAATCTTTTCTGAAGAATATATAATTCCTAAAGAAAGCAGAGTTTTTTCTCATAGAGTTGTAAAGTCATTTCAGCTGAATAGTAGGATAAGAATGGATACTTTAGAAAAATATATTTTGTAAAAAATATTGTTTTAATATATGTTTTTAGTTTGGTGTGCTAACCTTGGTTTCTAATGAATTTTACAAGGAAAAAAAATACATTGAAGAAGCCTGATAATATATGCAAACTGGACACCCACAAGTCTGAAGAGACTTTGTCATCCTTGTAAACAATGTTCTTCTTCACAGCAATTGTGTACTACAATTTTTTTAAAAAAAATATTCTTTTCATTTATTTTTTCCTTGTAATATGTTAAGTCTGTTGAGGTCAGTTAATAATGATCATCTGTTAAAAAGATTTCAAGTTAAGGGAGTTTTAGTGATCAAATATAATTTGAGGAGTCTTACCAATCTCTGATATGTGGCTGAGAAATAATTTGTCATTTATATATTTTTCAATTGCAAATCTGTTTTCTAAACCCTAATATGTTTTCCTAAAAGCAAAGCTAGCAAACTATGGGAGAGTTTTATCAGTCATTTTGTCACAAAATAAAAACAGAATCAAAAGCAAAATTTATAAGCCATCACTATTGTTCTTGCAAACTCTACTATAAATTCATTGATTTAATTCAGATTTATGATTAGTAGTGTTCTTCCTGATCCTGTAGCCCATGAACCATCTTCACTATTACAGAGGCATAGAGAGCCTTTAACCTCCAACTATTATAGAAGATACGAGGACCCATCAAAATAATATGAAAGTTTGTACGGGACAAGTCTGATTCCAACTCATTTTACTAATACAATTTCATGTATTAAGAATTCTTAGAATTAGACTGTTTATTCCTAACCCTCGTTTAGTTAAAATGGAAAGGTTTCAGATCTGTTGAACCTCAAAGAGGATAAAATGCATCTTACACATGAGTCTCGATCTAGTAGCAAAATATAGACTCCAACTCAGTTGCATACTTTTGCACATATAGTCAGAAATACCCTAAAACATCAAAAATATGGAAAGGTGTTAATTTAATTATTTTATAGATGCTTTTATCAGTGTTTGTTTTTATTCCTAATTAAAAAGGAAAGAGTCATAATGGTAATATTGAACCTTAAGAGAAATAATATTGACTATTAATTGCTACTCTTTTGCTGCCCTTTAGCAAAAGGGATATCAAAATTTGCTTTCAACAGAGTTCTACTGTTATTGGAGGAAGAGCTGTAATGTATGATTCCCTTTTGCAGTCCACACAAAAAACTATTTTGGGGACCCTGTGGAGCTTTATAGAAAGTGGTACTGGGAGTCCAAGGGAATAGGAAATTGCAAAAATTCTATTCCTCCAGTAGGAAGCCATTGCTGGGACTCAGTTCCTTTTACAAATTGAAGTCCATTCTACAAACAGGCATATCTAAATAAAAATAGGCCCTGGCAAAAAGCTGGGTGACCTCAGCGACATGTGAATCAGATGAATTTCAGATTGGTTGATTTAGTCAAATTAAACATGAAACTGAAGCAAGTTGTACCAGAAGTCAAGCCCCATAGACAATTATATAAATTACATTAAATGTTCGAATTGGTTGCCATTTTTTTCTAAACACTTCCATGCTCGTTTGATGCATGACCTTTGAACATTCCTAAGTACAGTAATATTTTCTCTGAAAAAAATATTAATTAATAAAGCCTGTTGTGGTTGGCCTGTGGGGTCTGACTTTTGGTATACCCTGTGCATATAGAAAAAATGCTTCTTTCCTCTGGCCATAACTGAGTTTATAATGTTGGTCATGATTCCCTACAGAATTAATGTTTAACTCAAGAATAGTTGAATTCAAACAAGCACTGTCAGAAATATCAAATAATAAGATAGTGGTTCTATATGTGTTCTGAGGTGTTGCTCAAAATGAGTCTCAAATTAACAAGAATATTCCTTTTAACCAGCTAACTGAACTTTTTTTATGTAAATAATAAAATAGATGGAACAAATTTGTTCCTGAGATAGAAGAATATCTTTAACATCTTACTCTAAATAGTATTTTCATTTTCTAAAGAATATAGGATATAAAGAGAAAATTGGTTTGATACATTGGCAAGTAATTGTTATTTAGGTGAAGGAAACGATGTATATACAGATTCTCAATCTTTCGGGGAAAATGTTAATTGTGATAGTTATAAAAAATTAATTATAACTTTAATGCTCCTCTTCTGCAGGTCACAGTGCCGTAGACATTACAAAAGTAGCAAGAAGACATCGTATGTCTCCATTTCCTTTAACATCTATGGACAAAGCCTTCATTACAGTTCTGGAGATGACTCCAGTGCTTGGAACAGAAATAATCAATTATCGAGGTATTTAGTATCAGTTCTAGCATCCAGAGAAAGAATAAAGGGAAAACTGTTTAATTTTCACTTACTTTATCTTTATTAGGACTGGGCAAATACTTGGAAAGGTGTGTTTCACAATGCACAGAAATGCATACAAAGTACCTCTCTCTGAATCATTAAAGCAGCCATGTCTTTTTCTAAACCTGCACAGCTACAGTGTCAACTGTTACAGTCCTGTATGTGGAGACAGTCAGGAATAGCTTACAAAGCAGCTGCATGCACCTGGAAAAAGATATGGCTGCTTTAATTATTTGGAAAAAGGTGCTTCATGCATAATCATGCAAAGTACCTCTTTGAAAGGATTTGTACAGCCCTAGTTTTTATGTTTTAAGTTATGCATGACTTATTAGGATATTTAGAATGTTTACAGCAACACTTCTCTCAGGGTGGATATCTTCCTACTGCATATGGAAAAGCTGATTCTGAGAGAGAATGGCTTGTATAAGGCCTGGAATTTACCTAATTCTGCCTCCTTCAGAGATAATGCATGTGTAACTTTACATAACATCACAACTATGTACAAGACTAGGCACAGAGTTACTCTCACACATCCCCCTAAACTCAAGAAAGCAGCCCAAACCAATATAGGCACTGTATTTTTAAAGGCTATAGTTCAACATCAAACAAGAGCATGCACAGAGAGCATTCGTTCATGAAAAAAATCAACCAACCAACCAAACCTTTATATTAGTAGCCTTTCCATTTATACAATCTCAGCACCATTAGCAACATTTGTGAATGGAGTACAGTAGTGTCTGTACACACAAATACTGCTGCTTACAAAATAAAGCACAATACAGCACACACTTGACTTACGCATTACTTAATCCACTCAGCCATTCATGTCAGCAACCTACCCACCTACCAACATCTTTTGGAGGAGGAGGAGCAGCAGCAGCAGGAGGATTATTTTTATCCCACATTTATATTTGGTCAGCTCAAGGTGGTAAACATATCTAAAACTCCTACCTCTTAGAGAGTGACTAGCCCAGAGTCACCCAGATGGTTTTCATGCCTAACAGAGGCCTAGAACTCTGTCTCCTGGTTTCTAGGCCAGCACATTAATTATTACATTGAATAATGTTTAAAAAACAGCAGAATCTTTCTGCTAGTTTGCCATTCTAAGCAGACTTCTGTCTTGCCATGTGCTTAATTGCTGCTTTCCTCTCAAGACATCATCCCCGTCAGTCTAAATTGTCACAGTTGCTTCTGTACTGCCTTGGCTAGAAAAAGTTTGAAAAAAGTAGCGCAGTCACAAGCTCCAAAACATTATTACAACTGCATTGCTCACAAAGGTCAGAATACTGAAAACAATGCCATTTAAAAGGGCTCAGCTTTGTTGCATCTCTGAAACAAAGTTCTCAGAATACATGTTTTATTTTGGTCTTTGAACATATGAAATAGCTATCTCAAGGTCACAATATTTTGAGGTCAAAACATTTTGCAAATGTTTTGTCATATAGAAAAGTCTACATTGTGATATTACTGTTCTGCTCTTGGTCTAGTTACAGTAGCCAATATTCTTCTTTCTGAATGGTTTATTTCAGTATTTAAAAAAAAAAATTAAATCCTGGTATGTCTCTATCCCTCTTCACATATTATTGGGAATAAAATGTAGAAAGAGAATTATTCAGAATTTCCTTGAAAAAAAATATGGGCACACTTAAAATAAAAATTGAGAGGTCAGAACTCTTTTTATATTAATGTTATTATTTTTAGCACTGTGCATTTAGTTCTGTGCATCTCCCTTAATCTGGCTGGCAAAACTTTAGAAATGTTTCTAAATGCTTCTTTATAAATGTTGATAGAATTTGAAAGGATTTTTAGAAAATAAAGTTTACTGTATACGCATACATTTTATCTTTGAAACCCTCTGCCCTCTCAGCTTGCTATCAGAATTTCATGTACTCTTTTTTTTCCTCTGCTTATGTATCAGATGGAATGGGTAGAGTCCTTGCCCAAGATGTTTATGCAAAAGACAACCTTCCACCTTTTCCAGCTTCAGTAAAAGATGGCTATGCTGTCAGAGGTGAATATTAATGATTTTGAATATGATTTAATTTTTTTTCCAGTTCAGTAACACAGTAGAGTGCTTGTGTATATATGTTGCCTGGAACAGCAGGTCCAATAGTCCTCAATGGCAAATTAGTCCTTACCTTAATGAAATTCATTCATACTTACAGGGTATATAAATATCTGTTTTAAAAAACTGTGTAAACTTAGGCTTCATGTATCATTACACTTAATATAACTTGGGAGTGATATTACAAATAAATCAGTTCATTTGCTTATTTATACGTTTTTTATTCATAATAAAGTTAAATTTTTAAAAAGCTCTGTGCTGCAAAATAAATTATCCACCTGGTCCATTGAATGATTTTAACTGTTATTATAGTAATAGGGCCTTTAATTATTTTTTTAAAGATTTCAGGATATTTTCATGCAGAGAAAGGAATGTTGCTGAATAAAAATATCTAGTGCATCATGTGCAGAGCAAGAATTTTTACATATTATTTTTTTCAACATAAATGGAACAATAAAAATAAATCACTGTCTTTTGTCATAAGTATATAATGTATGTTATGTAGTAAATTATATTGTGCACTTATGTTATACTTTAGGAAAATGGTCAAATCCAAATTGTTATGCAAAAATATGTGTAAGAGAAGGAATTATGAAGTCAGAAATAACAATAACAAAAACAATAAACCTGATAATGCATATTTGATTTATAACTCTAATTATCATGATGTTGTGTTAACTTTCAGCTGCTGATGGACCAGGAGATCGTTTCATCATTGGGGAATCCCAAGCTGGTGAGCAAGTAAGTACAATATATTTTGCTTTCCTTTCCTATTTTTTCTTGATTTATCAAGAAGTAGAATAATCTTGTAAAATAACATGGAACCATTCCAATGACTGTTGTAAACAATACAAAGAATATATGAATTGTGAGATTTCTATAATTAGATACTCTAATGTAGTAATAGAAAAGTTATTTATCATTTGCCTATAACTAAGTTCTTACGTAATGAAATAAAAAGGCAATTAGATATCAATTATAAAATCACACCACAAAATAAGGAGTCTCTAAACCAGAAGTTAATAAAATCAACATCTATGCTTTCAAATTAGTAGGATATTTATTTATGGCTTCACTAAGGCCTAAGAAAAGAAGAGTTTTTAAGCTCTAAGAGATCTGATCCCAAGTGTTATTTTGGTGGGAGTCAGTTCCAGAGAACTGAGAAAAGGCTCTCAGTTGTGACATGGGCATTCTACTCTGCAGGAGAACCAATTAATCTGGCCCAACGATCAGGCTCATTTCATAGGTATATGAGCAGGGCTTTCAAATAGCTGGTTATGTCAGTACACAGGGCATGATATTTCACCTGCAAGGACTCTTCACTCCTACTCAGGTGGCAGCCATGGCCAGGAGAGCCTTTACACAAATGCATCTTATCCACCATGTCCTTTCCTGGATCAAGAGGCCTTCATCACAGTCACTCATGCGTTAGTCACCTCCCATTTAGAGTACTTCAACATGCTGTGTATAGGGGTTATCCCTGAAGACTACTCAAAAGCTACAACTGTTCAGAGTGCAGCTGCTCAAGTAGGTATGGCCATCCCTTGGATTGCCCATGTAACATCTTTGCAAGTTGCACTGATTGCCAGTGGGCTTCCAAGTACATTCAAGGTGGGGATTGTAACCTATATAGGTTTTCATGGCTTAGGAACTGATTACCTACAGCACCATCATTCTCTTGTCATTTCTGCCTAATCAGTAAGGTCTGGAAGAATTTATATGCTCCAGGTCACAGCTGAAAATATTTGTCATCTTGGAGACATGTATTCTCTGTAGTTTCATTTGCCTTGTAGAACAGTGTCACCCTGAGGTCGATTTGGTCCCTACCCTCCTAGGCTTTCATAAAGCTGTAAATATCTGGCTCTTTCAGCACTCCTTGGGGCAGGGTATAGTGATCTTCTCCCTAATTGTACATTTTGACTGTTATGAATGTGTTTGAGTTGGCTATTCTTCCCTAATGCGCAATATGTATTATTGCTCTTTTGTTTCTGTTCATTCTTTTTGTTGTTTTTAATCCTAAATGTAAGCCGCCTAGAGTTACTCTGGTAATTAAGATGGCATACATGTGGATGGATGGATGGATGGATGGATGGATGGATGGATGGATGGATGGATACATAAATAAAGAAGTAAATGCGATGCCATACATAGAAACCTCAGTAAGTGTCAGCCGTTCAAGGTAGACCAAGTCAGGAAAAAGATTCTGTAAGAATGCTGGATGATGATGATGATGATGATGATGATGATGATGATGATGATGAAGAATTAAATTTATATGCTGCCCAACTCTCAGCAACTCTGGTTATATATCTAATTTATTGATACATAACAAGATCTTGAAAACCTGGCTGTATTTTCCCTTCCCGCTCTTTTATATCCCAGGAAGTTGAGGCAGAATCAGTCTGGGTTTCTTTCTAATGTTTTCTTCATTTCCTGAGCTTAAAATGTTTTCTGTGGCTCTCTACGGTAACTGCCCAGCTGCCAAAGCTTCAGATAATCTGTTCCCAGAAGTTGTCTGTGACAAATTTTAGAGTTCCTCTCTGCCCTTTCAATCCCCAGCACCATCGTACACCTTACTCAGCAAGGTTCCTGATTGTTCAGAGAGACTTTTCAGGCACTGCCAGAAAGAAGGGGGTGGAAATTCACTTTCTGTGCACTCTGTTTGAAAACTTCTACTGCATACAGTTTTTTTTTTTAAAAAAAAAGATGAAATGGAAGAAGAAAAATAAATTAACAGCTCTTCGTGTATATGTTTCCTGGAAATAATGTGCTAGACTTAAAGAAGCTTGTTCTCTTGGTTCCTCCATCAGTAATATACTTATTAAGATCCTGAATTAAACTGTGAAGTCTAATGCAATTTTGTTATATGAGTGGTTCTCCTATTAAGCTAATAAAAAAATTTTTGTAATCCCAAGTTTTTAAAATACAAGTTTCATATTAAATTTTTAAAAATAAATTGACATTTTTTGGTATTTTACAGCCAACTCAGACTGTCATGCCTGGTCAAGTTATGAGAGTTACAACTGGTGCTCCAATACCCTGTGGTGCTGATGCTGTGGTGCAAGTGGAAGATACAGAACTTATCAGGGAATCTGATGATGTGAGTGCTACTAAAAAATTCTTTGTTGCTATTATCTGCAGTAGTGCAGCTCCAAGGAATCATTCATCAGTGTGTAACCCCACTACATAGGTACAAACTTGCATTTGCACATTTGAAACAAAGAACAGCATCAGCAGTTCTACAGTCTAGAGATTATAGGCTGTATATGAGAAGAGGCTGCATACAAATAATCATAAATAAATGAATAAATACGTTATTAAAAAACATAAAACATAAAAAATCATGTTATGTTTTGAACTGAAGGGGGAAGAATCCCCACTTCCATCAGAACATTCTCATTTGGCTATATTCTAATGGAACAAACCTTAAAATGACTTAAACTTCAAAATGGCTTAAATTCCAGCCATAGAAAACAATGGGAATTCAGAACCAGCTCTAGTTCCCTACACTACAGTTAGTGTTAGCCAAACGGCAAAGAAGTGATCCCCTGTTCCCTTATTTTCTCCCCAGAGATACAAGAGAAGGTGGGGTGGTACCTCGGGCTGACTACCATTAGACCTACAGAAAATTTGGAACAAGGAGACAATTTTTAAAATTGTTTGAAAAGCGTTAAATAAAACCCCATAGAAAAAGGATTTTTACTGCTTTCTGCACAAATTAAAAATCACTCCCTTGGCAATTTTTGTGGGTTCAGTGGTAGGTAGCAGTTATTATGGACTAACACTTCACCCTATCTGTGTCATAAACAAATTCAAGTTCTGGCATTGTGTCCTTATAGTCACCCTGTTTCATAGACACAGGCCCAGCAAAAAGCAATTACTGTATTGCTCTTTCCCAGTCTTATTTGGATGCCTGTACTTTGTGGCTGCAAAAGAAATGTTGATCTTTTACCTTTGTGTGAATAATTTTAACATTACAGTAGTAAAAACAAAACAAAATCCTGTACTGCTCAAGTTCTACAAATAAGCAAAATTTGCATTTAAACACATCCTGAATTCTAATAGCAACAGAACATAAAGTGCATACCCATCAAAACTCAATAAATCAAGCCAAAGCATCAACATAGTACTTTGCATTTATATATTTATAACCTAGAACCTCAGCAGGATTAGCACTATGTGTGTGAAACCATAATAAATACAGCCAGACACCTTTACACTTAGCTACCTTATTTTAGTTTTATCTACTTACTCTCTGTTACAGGCAACTTTCATGCAAATGGTAGCAGAAGACCAAACACACATGAAACCCACCCACATGAGCTCTGACTTCCGTGAAGGAACTAATTTTTAAAAATGGCAGAAAGAGGCAACAGAACAGAGTCAACAATGGCTCTTCAGCTCTGAGCTGTGTACTTAGTAACTACTCCTACCCTATCCCATTCAGTATGAGGCAGTAACAGAAGAGATATAACTATTGTGCTGAGAAAACTGGAAATTAAAAAAAAATACAAGCACCAAAAAAAAGGTCCAGTCACAATGCTGAAAACAATGCTGCTCAAGCTGGTTACATTTTGTTCTGAGCATTGAACAAAACAGCATGAAATAAAACTCAAATCACACATGCTTTATTTCAAACTTGGAACATTTGATCACACTTGGAATGTTTTGTGCCCCGAAAAATGTACACCCCCCCCCAGTAGACTCCATTTAATATAGAATATATTTTGGTGGTGCCTTGATTGGTTTGAAGAAGGAATGAATAGGACTGATGGATGCATGCAGAGAAATATTAGAAATTAAATTTGCAGCATTTTTCTTATGCTTGATGGCTATATGAAAAAAGTACAGAATAAAGATTATTATTGAACAAATACAAAAAATATTCTTGTACTTTTAACTCCTTAATACTGTAAGCTATCTTTACTATGAGATTTATAAATATATAAATAAGCAGAGAAATGTGTTAAAAATGAATGCACTTATCAGTTAATTTAAGGTTGGTGAATCTCCAGCCCATTGGCCAAATATGAATCTCCAGGCTTTCCAACTTTATCATAATATACTCCCACAACATTCTTCCTCTAAGTTATTGCTGGTATTTATTTCTTGACCTAATCTGTGGCTACAATTCGGATGAAGAAAATCTTGCACAGTTCGGGAAAGGACCATGCTTGGATGGATTTCTTTCTTATTGTATACTTAAAAGGTTCTTACTGTATACTTAAAAGTACAGTAATACAAGCAGTTAATTTTGACTACTTTGGCTCTGGCCATACTTTACTCCTAAAATGAGAACACTAACAGTGTCTTGGAAAGGTAATATAAATTCCTATAGGTAGAAGCTCCCTTACCCCTGAACTAATTAGTTACACATAAAAAAGGTTTTGTTAATCAGTTGGTTGACAGACATCATTTTCAGTTAACCACAGAGGGAGCAAAAGGTGCATCTCTGTCTCACAGATTCAGTGTTATTCTTCATTGTTATTTCCAAACTTGAATGCAAGCCATTATGAATCTGAATGCTGTCCAACAAAACTCTTTTTAAAATATTCATGTGACTGTATTGTGTCTTAAAAAATCAAATGCCAGGAATATACCTCAACCAGTAATGTCATTCTTCCCCAGAATAATATATTCAGGGTTGTAACTGGATGTTAATATTGATTCACAAATAACACTGAGTTGGGATTTTAATCAGAATTTGTTAAGTAAGCCACAATGGTCAGTTTCATGCTGAGCTTAAATAAATGGACTCATTAGGACTGTTTTATGTTGTATTTTAATGAATTTTATCTTTGCTCTAAACCACCCAGAGTCATTTATTGATAAATAAATAAATAAAAATAAAAAATAACACTCTAAGCCAGAAAGAAATGAACCATATTTACTGTTATATGGGAAGCCAGTCATTGTCTTTAACAAATTTTTAAACCTCTTGCCCACATGAACTTGAGTCTGCTATGATCACACCATACTATGATGTAAATTGAAATCTGTCTTGTTTCCATAAATACAGGGCACTGAAGAACTTGAGGTACGCATTCTGGTGCAGGCTCGACCAGGTCAAGATATCAGGTTAGTGAATTGCTTATCTTTACATTTTAAAATGAAAAATTGGCTATTTAATATCTTTAACATTAATAGCTTTTGAAATGTTATAAAGGATGTATTCATTTTCTTAGTAACTTAATAAATGTTTCTCTTATTGTTTTGGTGCATATTTAGGCCTATAGGACACGACATTAAAAGAGGTGAATGTGTACTGGCCAAGGGAACCCACATGGGTCCATCAGAGATAGGTCTCCTAGCAACTGTTGGAGTAACTGAAGTTGAAGTTAACAAGTTTCCAGTAGTTGCTGTAATGTCCACAGGGAATGAAGTAAGAAAACATCTAACATTTATAAATTGTCAAAAAAAGCATGGTAGGATTCATCAAAAAGCATAGTAGTTCTGTTTAGATTACAGTTTTACAATCTCTTTGATTACAGTTTTTGCAGCCCCTTTATTGGTAAAATAGACATTTTAAACTGTTTAGCATGGTGTTTTGAAATAATCTGGTTTCATAGAGAACAGTAGAATGTGGCATTTGCATTATATGTACAGTGGTGCTTAAAAGTTTGTGAACTCTTTTGGTTTTTCAATATTTCTGCATAAATATGACTTAAAATGTAACCTTAAAACACAACTCTTAAAACTAGATAAAGAGAACCCAATTAAACAAATGAGTCAAAAATATTATACTTGTTCATTTATTTATGGAGGGAAATGATCCAAAGCTACAAAAGTATGTGAACCTCTAGGATTATCAGTTCATTTGAACAGGAAATTAGAGTCAGTTGTTCCAATCAATAGGATGATTATTAGGTGTGAGTGTGGGAGGTCCTGCCTCATTTAAAGAACAGAATCTCCCTATCAAAGTCTGATCTTCACAACACAGGGTTGTGGTATGTGGAAGTATGTCATGGCTTGAACAAAGGAGACTTCTGAGGACCTCCAACAAAAAAAGTGGTTGATGCTCACTGGCAGAAAGTGCCGAAAAGAAAAAAAAATAGAAAAATAGAAAAGAAAGAAAAATAGGAATATAGTAAAGAAAAAGAAAAGAAATATATAAAGAAATTACTTCCCCCTTCATCACAACTAGTACAAACAATTTTAGTAACTTATCACCTTTTCTTAAAATACAACAAATGATCTCTTCTTCCCATATCCCATCTCCTATTTATAAACAAATCCTTAAAGCCTCCTCTTTCAGTCCTGATCAGCAAAAGTCCATTTAGGGTTACCAGAAATAACAACATATCTATTTTAACCTTGATCAAATGAACCAATTTCATATCCCTTCCTTTTACTGTTTATAATCTTTAGTCCCTTCAAATAATTTCCTAGGACTTGATTTCTTTTTATTTCTTCTTTGTCCCTTCTCACAAAATTCTTCAAAGCTTTAACAAGTCTCTTTTGTTAATCCAATATAGGAAAGTTATCCAGGTCACTCTTTTGGTTTGTTATTTA